TTTTTCCTGGAGGTAGTCAGTGGAGTTTGAATGAGAATGAATGACAGAGCGTGAAAGAGAGAGAAAAAGAGTTTGTGTGCAGTGTTCTCTGCTGAGCTCCACAGAGGACCTATCATTACCAGATGTCTCAGTAGTTTGTTTCCAGACGAATCCCTGCTCACCGCCTTTAATTCGACTCTGCCTCTTTCTCTTTCTATCTTCCCTTCTTTCTTCCTTTCTGTCTGCTCGCCCTCTTTTTCTCTCTCCTTTTTTTCCTTCCTCCCTTCTCCATTCCCAGCTGTTTTTGGAGCACACGAGCACGAAGGAAGTTCTCCACCAATTGTTTCGGTCCTGAGAGGAGCTCCGCAGTTGGACCCCTCCCCCTTTCTGTCTCACTCCCCTTTCCCTCCTGCTACTCTTTTCCTCTCTCACCCTCTCTCTCTCTCTCTCCCCTCCCCTTGTTGTGACAGAGCACACCTGCTTGATCTTGGCTGCATGCGCTCCGAGTCCAATTACCCCATAGGCCCTCTCAGCCACTTCACAGTCTCATCCCCCTGCTCGACTGGATTTTGGGAGTCAAGCTCATCTCAACCACTCTCTTTGCCTAGCTTCCACTGAGAACAGGTAGGTTAATCTTTTAACTCTGATAAAGGATGAAAATCTGAGAATGAATGAGTGATCTTAGCTCAAGAACAACGACTTGGGCTTGACTGTGAACAGATTTGTTTAGTTTGAGAATAGTTTTGAGATAACTCTTCAGATTTTTGTATCATTTAATGTCTTGCTTACACATATAGGGATGAATTAGGAACATCTCTTTGTCCATTATATAAAACTGACATTATTTGCTGACGATGTTATTTTCTAAACATGTGTCTACATGTGAGGCAAAGTGGGTTTAAGTGTGCCTCCTTTCATACTTAATTTTGCATCTGTGTGCATGTGTGTGTTGTATATATTCCCGACTTGTTGCCAAGCCTTGTTCCCACAGCACTCTTGGCTTTGTGATGAGACTTTAATCATTCCCAGTCCAATCTCCATACAGCTCTGAAAGCAGCGACTAGGGAAGGGGGTGTGGTAGTGCTGTTGATACCAGTACCTCGCTCGTCTGCCAAAAAAGTATTCTTTTTTCCCCGTATTTGATCTCCAAAGTATCCACCAGTGAGGACTGTGTGAAGTTCTCTCACTTTACAGTTTTAACTTGCATTTCTAATTTGTTGGTTTTTATGGCAGCTGACCAGAGAAGTGTTTGGCCACTTGTTTGTTGACTGTTTAGATGTAACCCATATGTCAGGGGATTATTCAAATGTGTTGTATTTTTACATGGCAATAGAATCAGATTTGCAATGCTTATGGAAGGGTTTAAGAGAGGAAAAGGGAGAAAACTTGGACTTTCTTTCTCCTTAACTTGGTTAATTCTTTTTGTCATTATTTGCTAACGTCAGTGGAAAAGATTCTGATTTGTTGCATTCATTTTTCCCTCTCCCTCTCTCTTTCTCTCTTTGTTTAGCTTTCTTTTTCTCTCTTTTTTTCCTTTCCCTGTGGCGTATTGGCCAGTCTACAAGTAAATGAGTGGAGAAAAAAAGTTGAAACGACAACAATGAGGATTTCTTTGTGTTTATTCAGCCCATTACTGCATGTCAAGATGTTGATTGGAAAGGTTGTTGCTGGTGCTTGTCACACTTTCCATTTCAGTGACTCATTTCAGGCCATTTTAACCCCAATCCCTTATCTGTCTGCTCAGTGAACCTGTTTCCTTTCAGTACATACCTCCTCTGTCCGCCGTGGCATTTGCAACTGTGTTTTCACAGAAGCAGAGCAGCGCCCAAATTGCTAGGGGCAACTTAAAGTGAGAAGAGGAGATGAAAAAGGAGGAGATGAAAAAAACCCTCTACCTGGCAACACACAGCACCATTAATCCTGTAATGGTACAGCTTCCTCTATCAAAGAGGTCTGAAGACTTCCCGGCAAGCCACCACACAACTCTGAGCTAACTCATTACATCCTTTCTTTGCCAGCAGAGAAAAAAACTTAATAAGGCTCAGCTGCACTGAATGACACTGAATGGAATGGAGTAAAACTGGGGAAAACTTAGAAACAACACAGAAAGAAAAATGTCACTTAGAATAGAATCGAAGCCAAAAAGAGGCATACACATTGTGCTAAAATACACCCAGAGCAATAAAAGTACTCCTCCAGATCATAGTTTCTTGGGCTAAGCAGCTGTTTAATGTTTGAACCAGAAACCAGAAATACCAGATTTTAAACTAAAAGCTGGACGGCATTTTTTTCCATTTGGAATTCAATTGTTTGGGTCAAAAAAAGGAAAAGAACAATGGAACTTGAATGGACATCAGCCTTGAAGTATTTTCCCCCTGTGTTTGTTGGAATACCAGAAAGTTCCACATGTCAGTCCTTCGGGCCAAAGTTAAGGGGTCAGACAGAGAAAGAAAATACCAAAAGCTATGAGAGAAAGGCTTGGGAAGGAAGGAAGAGAGCACAAAATGGGAGGAGGAGATGGAAAGAGAAGAAAGGTGGAGAAGGTTGGGCAGTTTGTCCACGTCTGTACAGCACAGACGTTTGATAATGGGACTGAGGCTGATGGCAGGTTGACAGCTCTTCACATGGAACAGCTGAAATGTGGTTTAACCACTCACTGGCTTTCTCATACTTTGATTCCAAACACCAGGCAAGGTTTTAAGACCCAAGAAGTTCTTTCAGTTATATTATTTAGTCTGAAACTTTTAGTTTCTCTATGAAGAAACTACTTTGAATCATAGTGGTGAAAAACCCTTGGGTTTTTCTTGGAGCCTAAAACATCCCATCATGCAGATATACACGGAAGGAAAGACTGATTTGGCTTTACTCATATTAATTTTAGAGAACTCGTTGGCACTGACATTGTTTGTTGGCAGTGTCTGTGCATATTTTCAGATGTTCATGTTCTCCCTCACAAAATCCCCCAAGTATGTATCAGAAATTCGTTGACTGTAACGACCACTGACTTGTTGGGTAACTGCTGAATTAAAAGTTCTCAGTAATTTTATCATAGTCATCAATCAAGCATATGTGTTTGTGCAATCATGTGGGAGGGGGAAACATATTCATTTGCTGATAGGTTAAAGGGGCCACATGTGTTTTAAATGTCCTGTGGCCTTGTAAATACCTTCCAGTGATTCATGGCCTGCAGACACTCTGCTAAGTCAGGAGCAGGCCTGTGGAGAGTTAAGAGGAGAGGAGCGAGGTAGCAGACAAGGGTCGAGAGTGGCAGTTAGCGTCTGCTTTATGGTGATTGGTTCATCATGGTTTGATTTGTTCAAATTAAAGCTCTGTGGTGTTTAAAGCTCGAATCTGTTTCTGTTCTGCTGTTGCACTTTGGTCGATTGAAAGTGACGAAGCATAGAAGGGAAAATTGCTTTACTCCCTCTTGCAGGCTCCGTTTCCTGTCTGGGATTCATTAGTAATGCTGAGGCCAGTTTTGGGGGAGAGTGGAGGGAGGGAAGGGAGATGAGACAAAAGTTGAAGACAGGAGAACTGACAAGGATGCCACCGCCACAGGAAATGTCAAACCCTTCCCCCCCTTTTTTTCATCAGACATGGACTGATGAATCCCAGGTTTCAGATACGTAAGAAAATATTGTTGAATGGTAACCTTATCGATTAAAGCTTTTCACAGCTGCCCGAGCTTTTCACATTGCTATACCTAGTTTGATTCTTTGGCCAGTGCTTTGAGAAGCCTTTAATGATCACTGGAAGCCCTTTAAAAGTCTTTGGAAGTCGTTAAACCGTCAGTTGTCTCAGTGCAGTAAAATACGACAATTAAAAATTGCTACTACACCAGTATCTTGATCCAAGTGTGTTTTAAATCTCAGTATAAAGCCAAACATATTTCTCAAGTTAGGTTCCAATGACTGGCTATATATCACTTCTGCACATGCTAATCTTTGTTTTACTGATGATGACATTTTTTGCAGCACTGTTTCTCAAACATGCATTTGTTTTTAAAGTGCAAGTGTTTGCTTCATAGCTCAATAACAGGAAACCTTTTGTCTAGCAGCTTTTGCAAATTAGTTTCTGTCCACTTTTTGTCAACAAAGAATTTCTCATTGTCACCTTCCAAGCTGGCATACAGCCACACCATCAATAATATTCGTCATGTTCCTCGAATAAAGCCACTCTGACCTGAAAGATCAAACAGGGAGGTTTGGAAGATGGTTTAATGCGGTTACTATTTGTTCACACTTTCATGTGCGTTTAATTTGAAATGTAATTTAGAGATTTTACAAACATTAAATCACTAAAAAAATATATTAAAGTTGGGTTTTTTTGTTTTTATTTTTAATAGAAATAAAAGATGTTTTCTGCATTTTAGGAACAAAATGATAAAATTTTCTAGTGTTATGTTTGTATCTCCAGCTTGGTGGTGTCCTCTGTAAAACTGGAAGTGATAAAGTGAATCACATTTATCCTGTAACAGAAAGTTGTATCTTCTTAGAGGGAATTAGAAATGCACACACTGGTGTGATCTGGGGTTTTGCAGGGTCAAGTCATGTTCCTGCATGCTGTTCAGGGCTGACAGCCCTTCGGGTTGTTTGAGAAGCCATATTTCAGATTTGCAGGCCAATCCTGTAGATGCATCTGAGCAGACTGGTAATTAAGGAAGCAATGCCTGGGGTGCAGCAGGTTGAATTTTAACTTTTTCATTGTGTCTGTGGGTTTTTAGAGTAAACATTAAAGCTTACAGAAAGACTTTGGGTGACCAAAATTTTTAGTTACTAGTTACTAGTTTATAAATTTCTACACCTCTTGACCCAAAAACACCTAACTTAATAATGATACCACTTAAAGTTTATTCTGCAGCTATGATTCCGATTTCTTAGTTAACGTCCCAAACAACAATCTCTGTCTGAAAAGCTTTTAGATTTATTTTTCTTGGGTTTGTTTCAAATAATTTTACTCTCATCATCATCAACTCCTAAATCTGAATATAACTGAAGTAGTAAGCAGTAAGCTTTGTGTTTGCAGTATTGCTGCAGCAGTTAAAGGCTTACAGAGCTCAGTTTGAGATTGCTCTCATGTCGTTCTTCCTTTTGCATGTCTGGCTTCCATTAAAAGATGCTGAAGTGTTTATGGACACCGTCTGACAGATTGATGGCAGGGAAACTGAAATTCTGCACCAGTGAACATGTTCGTGTATATCTAGTTGTGTGTTTTTGGCCAGAGGTCAAAGCAGACAGATAAGGTTCAGTAGTCCTTGGTTATGTGTGGCCATTTCTGTTCTGTTCTGTTCTACCATATGATCTGGCATCCACTGGCTCATAATACTCATAATACTGGCCTACGAGTGCCTTACATCCCAAAATCCAACAAAATTAAAGAACACTGCATTCAGTTTCGTAGATGAGGTTTTTATTGGATTGAATTTTCTGCTTTGATTAGATATGAGAGCCTAACACAGCCAAGATTACGCAGCCCTTGGAAGACTGGAACAACTTGTCCTCTGGATCAGATGTTTGCTGAGACCAGAGCTTTTTCATTCAACACATTCAAGTAAAACAAATGCAACATGTTTTTAAAGCACAGAAAGTTGAATCTGGACATTAAACACATGATCATGTGGCACAATTCCAGTTTCTCATTTCCAACCTATAGAATCAGCTGCTTTGTTTTGTTTTTGTTTTTGTTTTTTTGGGGGGGGGGGTTCTGGTTTTTGCACTTCATAGCAAAACAAGGAAAGTTAAGGGGCAGAAACGAACCTATCGAACTTGATTCCCCTCTGAATGGATGTGATTTCAAGCTTGGTCACACTGTATGCAAGCACTGTAACCGCTGGACTGAAGCTGTACAGTGTGTCAAATCGGTGGCTGTTTTTTGGACAGAGACTATAATTACTGCTCATGTTGAGAGTCACTTTGAGCCGTGATCACCATGACCCGACACAACCTTAACCAGGATTTGCACTACGTCAGCACTCACTTTCACTCCCATTCTCACAAACACGCTCTAAAAAGCTTACAAAATAGTTTAAGCAACAAATCTAGTATTTTCATTGTGACATGCCTAATAATAGAATAGAAAAAGTACTACAGTGCAAAAGAACAACACAGGCACCTGTGTTAACACACATTAAAACAAACTTTTTGTTTCATCCACACTTGAGAAGACCTTAACATGAACCCAGTCACACAAACCCCAATAAAATAAACATATGGGCCACTAACATCCTATGTGTGCTCAGAGGCCATATAAGCAACCTCGGAGTTGCTTTTAACCCTGGCCAGCTGATGGTTTTTGTTAAGTTTCATCATCCTGGTCATGATGCTCAGGTCAAGGTCGGCTGCAGACCAGCAGCTCCAAAATTGTTTGTTAGCAGCTGTGGCTCAAAAGCGCCCTTCAATTATTGTGGCACCACGAGGGAAGGAGGAACGTTTGGCTTTAAGGTTGACAAGCAGATTGCTGGGTCTTTGAGACTCTGCATGCATGTGTGTGTGTGTGTGTGTGTGTGTGTGTGTGTGTGTGTGTGTGGTTATCTTTAGAAATAGAAAAAAAAGGAAGTAGGATTCTCCCAGCGACTCCACTTGTACTGTAGATATAGACCCATGCAGAAGATGAAGTGTTCGACAAGCAAACGCTCATTAAATATGATATACAGCTGCAGCCATGAAATTTCTTGTCATGCATCTTCTTTGAATTACTGTAAAAACGCAAGCAGCTGTTAGCTAAAATGGTTATTAAAAAAAAGAAACAGGTGCAAAAAATATGAAACATGCTTAATGAAAAGGTAAAAATTAATGGAAAATGAGCCTGTAGAGGTAATCCGGGACTTCTTTGATGCTACATACTGGAACCAGAGTACTTGGTTCACCTCATGGACAGGACATTAACAGTTTTGCTGGCAGAATCACAGAACACATTAAATTTTGTGACCACACTATCTCCCCAAAAAGGATTTCATTTTGATTTATGAACAATCCTTTGGTCATTGAATGAAATGCTTAATGAAAAGATGAAGTCCTCATGTCTAGGGATAGGGTTTGCATATAGACCAAATCTGGGAATGGATCATGCAGACATCTGCAGTATGTGCTGCAGAAAGCATACTCCCATCTAGATAGCAACAGGATCACCTTCTTTGATTTTCCAAGTGAATTTATCATGAGAAGATACAGGAAATGTCAGTAGACTATCTCAGCGGTCCCCAACCTTTTTTGCGCCGGTTTATGCCCGACATTATTTTCATGGACCGGCCTTTAAGGTGTCGCGAATAAATACAACAAAATAAAACTAGTACCGGTACCGAAAAAAGAAGATTTATTCATAACACACTTGAAAAGACCCAGGAAAACCGAGTTAATGATAAGAACGATAACAAAATAATGCTGAAAACCAATAAAAACCCTGAAAAAAATACATTTCACACCTGAGCCTCAACTCTCGTGGCCCGGTACCAAACGACTCATGGACCGGTACCGATCCGAGGCCCGGGGGTTGGGGACCGCTGGACTATCTGACAGCCAGGACTCGGTGTGAGTTTGGGTAGTGCTCTGTCTGAATTGGTGATACAGTATGAAAGAGACTATATTGTCTCCTGTTCCTGTTCACCTTATACACCTCATAATTTCAGCAAAGTTTGCAATACAACCTACAGAAATACTGACAATTCTGCAGTGGTTTGCTGTATTGGTGATACAGGAGGAGAAGCATGGAGCACTACTGGATGTTTTTTCTAGAGTGGACTGGGAGGTATCATCGTGTGAATATGAAAGGCTACGTGGGCCATGTTTGTGCTGGGATAGGATGTTGATGTGGTGTAGGTGTAAAAGTACCCAGGGATCCACATGGATTACACAAAGGCTCTATGTAAGAAGGGGATAAGTGGATGATTTTCTCTTACAGACTGAAACTTAGGTGCCAAAAGGACAGATAAAGGAAATCTTTCATTTCATTTCATTTGTATTGTATATCTCATTCTATAAATGTTTAAATGTTAAGCCTTCTCTAGTTCCAGCAGTAACAGTAGAAATGCAAACTTGACCATGGTCACAATAAGGCTGACACGTGGATTGTAACAATGTAAAAAAAAAATTTTAAAAATATGAAAATGAAAATATATTATTTTATATGATTGTTATTTTTAACAGTATCTGTAAGGGAACCCTCAGTCGGATGACCCTCACTAATCTCTTTAAACTAAAGGTGTTTTTACTTCTACATTTCTTATTCTTTTTCTTATAAACTGCATTCTTTTGTCTGCTTTTGACTTATTGCAGCATTCAACAGCATCCAATTCAACAGAATTTGGTATTTTCTAAACTTATTTTCTAAACTAAAAGACTATATTCAAAGTGTATCCACCCAAAACCTTCTGTGTCATTTCAGGCTCCCTACTATCAGCACCATGAGGTCTGCCTGTCTCTCTCTGCTCCTGGTCACCGCCTGCTGGGCTCTGCCCTTTCGTCAGTCTGGTTTCTTAGACTTCATGATGGATGAGGGGTCAGGGGACCCTGTTACTCAGTCCCCATTGCCCCCCGTGATTGGAGGCCCTAAATGCCCCTTCAGATGCCAGTGCCACTTGCGTGTGATCCAGTGCTCTGACCTTGGTAAGGCAATACACTTCCCAGTGGTGGTTTATATGGTTGTATAGACTTGTTTTCTAGCACTGATTAAACAATATGAGAATTATCCATGGTTAAAGTCCAAAATCTTTCAGTATATATAGACAAACAGAACTCCATCACCTGTAAAGATATGCTTTGCATGTTTCTTTTGGGTTTGCTTGAGCACAGCTAACATCTATTTTAGGGCCTAATTCCTAAACATTTGTGAAAAGAAATGTTTTCTTCATTCAGTCCTTCATTTGCAGTCCTGTTCTAGACTCAAAATGCCTGAGCTTGTTCCACTGTACCATTCATGGCATTACATTTTTTAACTCTTTTCCTCCTCAGACACCTACTAGGGGTAACCATAGCTTCTCTTTTCTGTCATATTTCAGGCCTGCTTCCTAAAAAAAGATTGGGTGTGCATCAGGTAGTGATGGTTATTTCTCCCTGTACAGTTCACTAGTGCTACCCTATTAGTTGCCAAACCACATCTTAATTTATATATAGAGGTGTGAAAACTCATCATTAAGGGTACTGGAGAGATCACCAAATGTTCTTTATGGGGGAAGGAGTTAAGAGCCTGAAAGAAGTCACTTGCTTTCCTCACTCCGCCCAAACCCAAAGGGTCATTGGAAGGGTGTATTGTGTTACTCATTCTTGCACAGTCCTCCAGAGAACTTGTTTTGATACATTAAATACTTCCAGATGCTGCAAGTCTTATTTCATTTCTTGTAACAACAAGATTATCTTCTTTTTCTGGATAACAGCTTTTCTTTAATCGCAGCAGAGATTAAAGGTTAACCTGGACTTCATAAATATATTCTAGTACCTTAAATTAACCAAAAAGTGCTTCTATAAGTTTACATGGTTTATTTACCAAGGTTAGAACTACTATTAGTTGGGTTTTTCATTCATCACACTCACAACAATTTACTCAATAGTCATCTTCTTTGTTTGGACCTCATCTGCCATGTTTGTCTCACGTATGGCATACACAAAAGGTTCAGTCATCTTTCAGAATCCAACACACAAAAGTCCCTGACCTCATTTATATTTGGTTATTATGTAAAAGTGCTTGACTAGGCAGTTCGGTTTGACAATTCTTTGGCCCTGTTTTTGTTTGGAAAGTATGAGCTTCAAGAAGGAGCAGGACAGGGAGGAGTGTCACTAATGGAGGATACTAGGATGAGGAGTAGACAGACATCGCATAAACAAACAAAAGATGTTTCAGATTCTGGAAAAGAAGCATAAGGAGACGGGCAAACAAATATGAGCAGGCGACTCAAACGGTTAAGGGACAGACAGGCAGTCACAAACACAGACGGTCAGAGAGACCAGTTCCATTATGTCATTACTCCAAGAGGGGCCGTGAGCAGCAGCACTTTCCCCAAAGATGCAACTCTAGTCTCCACTCTTGCATCAGCACTATTTTCCAGATCCCCCATCTGCTCCGCAGATCTGCTGGCACATCCACAATAGACATTCAAATGCTCAGATACACACACACACACACACACACACACACACACACACACACACACACACACACACACACAGGAATAAACATTGCATGTGTTTGGACGCACACAAGTCTGGCCATAAAATGTCTGAAAGAACTCAGAGATTTGGATTTTTCTCAGTGAGGCTGATTGCTGCTGGCACGATGACAGTTAAAACATTCAGGGGGAAAACCGGTGTAAGGGTCAAAAGTTGCGATTATATCTGTGAGAAAGAGGTTTTGCTGACAGGCTGCAGAACAGCTTTTCTTTTTCCATTACCAGTAATAAAATGGCGCAATCCCCCATTAAACCTGTAAAGCTAATTGTCTTTTAAAAATATATGACGGTATAAAGTGAGCAACCTGGGCATCACACCCTTCTGAACAACCCAAAAAAGTCCCAAACTTCCCAAGAGCCATTTGGTTCTGTGACAACTCATCCTTCCCAGACACAGTTCCAGAAAACGACAGGAAATTTCATAAATAGTGTCATTAATTCTTTGTAAGGCTCCAAATTAGTCCAGTCTACTCCAAAGCAATCATGCACTTGAGATTGTAATCACTCTGATATAAAACTGAGTGATTAGTGAAGTGAGGACAAAACTCGAAGCCCAGTTTTTTCTTGCTCATTTCCCGATTGCTAACAGATGAAAACCAAGAAGTGAAACATTCAGTTAATTTATGCTGTAATTTTAAACATTTTTTAACATTAGACTTTTGCTATTGTGTAATGAGGCGTTTTTCTTTCAAGCTTTGCTTTTGAAATGTTTTGGCTGCAGTGCCGAGGCTCAGATTTTATTTTTAAGGCAGCTAGGCAGCGAGTATTTGCAGACCAACATGAAAAACTACAGACAACCACGCCAACTCATTTCACCTACGAGAAAGCCAGCAACCTTCAGGAATCACTACTAACCAGTCCAGGGATACAGATTTGTCCCTAGCAACCAGTGATTGTATCACATACAGGGCAGACAGCTCTCCAACAAAGAGTGCATGACATCACATGGAGAACATTAATTAAGCCAAAATTCGTGTCCAGAAAATAACGCATTTGTTGGGCCTTATGGAGTTCATATTCAGGTCATTTATGGCTCAACTACTTTGAATCACATCAGATTGCATGATTATTGCACAACGCCCTTTATCTTGAATGTTTTTGAGTTTCGTGCAAGATTTTTTTTTCCACACATGAGATGTCAAATCATTATTCACACTCAAATAGAAAACATTTCTTTTTAGCCAAGTTTTAAGTTAAATGTTTTGAAGGGGTGGTTTTTAATTAATTTGACACTCTTATTATAAAAAATGAATCTGCAGATGAAACATGCCGTCATAAAACCATGTATTTTGTTGGATAGTCAGCACCACATGTTCCACCCATTTTTCTTCTAAACCTCCGGTTACATGGAGTACTTATTAAGCTGTATTTGTCACCAGATAGTTGACTGTAAATTGTAATAAATAGTGTCTAGCTGAGGCAGATGACAGATGTTGGAAACTAGGTTAAGGCCATATTTTTCAGCAGTTGTCATTTGCCTGACATATTAATATATATGGCGTATTTTTTGCTTCTATTAGAAACCACAAACACATCCTTTTGAAAGTTTTTCCAGCTGGCTTTCTACAAAATTGTTGCTTTTACAATAGAGGCATCAAAAAATGAGTTTTAGGCCCGTGGAAGCAGAGATGTTTTGACTTTTTAGAAAAGAATAATAAAAGGTGTGTGTGTAAGACTAGAGCTATACAGTGCAGTGATGTAATGGTGACCACAAACTGCTGTGTTAATGTGTCATGCACTGCCAAGTTGGAAAAGCTGACAGAAAAACAAACCAGCAGGAAATAATGTTTGGGTGAGCCAAACAGAAGTAGTCACAAGTTATTGAGCCAAAATTTGTCAAGACATACGTATGGAGTGGAGAAACAGAGTGTAACTTTTTTTGTTAAACAGTTTATTCTACGCCTCTTCCTCTCAAATGTAAACTGCCCATTAGGAATCTCGCCGTATGTTTTTTTGTATCACCACAGAAGCATAAAAATCTCCTAGATGTCTTCATTCAACTTTTTTGAAAGCTGTCTTTCACATCAGATGCCTTTTTTTAATTTGCTCATGACGTGCCGCGCTAAAGTCCAAGCAAAAGGATCTCATGTGACCTCAGTGTCCAGGTATGCAGTTGCATTAATGCCAAAGGAAATTTGTTTCAAGGTCCATTTCCACCATGTGTGCCTCGCAGCACATCAAATAGTTTTTCTGTCCCTTTGGAATGTCTGTTCTTAAGATCTCAAAGTCAAAGCACCATCCTGTACTGTTAGATATTCCCAAGCCAGTATGCAACAGACATCATGGAGAGGCTTTATTCAGTAACACTGCAAGGCAGACAAACACACAACAGTTATCACATGTGGATTTGTAAGTTTAAAGGACCTAAAAATGAAATGTGTGAAATTGTGAAAAATTAGTTTTTCTTGGCTGTTCAAATTAAAAACAAATCATCAAATCAGCTACACCTGTTTTTGTTTATTGCTTTGAAAAATCGAAATCATCGATTAATCCACACTATCAAAAAAAACTGAGTGATGCTCAAAAAAACATGTTTTTCAGTATCAATCTGATTATTTTTATGGGATGGTTTAAAAATCCACACATGTTAGCTGACAAAAAAAAAATCCTCCTTCCCAGGATGAAGACCAGTAACTCAAGACATCACATTCAAACATCTGTGTCCAAACTGTCTTTCCTGCAGCTCATGCTGAGCACACATTGCCTCTGGCAACAGCACAAAGTTCCACAAATACACATTACACATTTTCACACAGTCGGACAAAGGTGGACAGAAACCAGGGAAGAATAGCGGGTAATCGTTTTGTATCCATTTCCTCTTGGGGTCAGAGTGTGGTTAACCTCTCAGCACCTGAACCACCACTGTCACCGCCTTACTTCAAACTCCACCATCCATCATTCCGATGGATTTATTGCACTTGTATGCTGCTGACTGTCATAACCACACATGCAGTTAATCAGGTTCTTATTGAAATCGCCTCGTTTAGGCCTGAAGGCTGTCCCTGAGGATATTCCAGATGACACCACCCTGCTGGACCTGCAGAACAACAAGATCACTGAGATCAAGGAAAATGACTTCAAGAACCTTAAAGGACTACACGTAAGAGATCATTCGCTTTCACAGGGTCGCGTGCCCATGAACCATTTGTTATTCCCAACATTATATAATGTCTGAAGTTATGTAACTATAAAACTCACCACAGCTGTCTTTCAACATAAAACTTGATTATCCACATTGGGAAACATCTTGTCCATCCATCCATCCATTTGCTTCCGCTTATCCTTTTCAGGGGCGCTGGAGCCTATCCCAGCTGTCATAGGGCGAGAGGCGGGGTGCACCCTGGACAGGTCGCCAGTCTGTCGCAGGGCTAACACACAGAGACAGACAACCATTCGCACTCACATTCACTCCCACATTCACACCTAGTGGCAATTTGGATTAATCAATTAACCTAACCCCACAAATTGCATGTCTTTGGACGGTGGGAGGAAGCCAGAGTCTTGTATTAAATCAATTTTTTGATGTTGGATAGATCCTCCACCTCCATAAAGCACCACCTCCATTTCCCTATACAAATAGTAAATACCACGACTGCCCCTCTCACAGTCCCCCAGTCCATGGAAAGCATTATCCCTATAGGCCTCACAGCCTTACACCTCTGAACTCTCGTAGCTTTCCTTCTCGCAATAAATGCCTCAGTCTGACAGCCAGAGCTGTTTCCTGGCCTCACAAGGGGATTGGTCCACATACCACATATTGCTTCATGTCTGCTCCAAGAGAGGGCAACAGCAGGAGTGAGATTCCTCTGAAAATGCATTAGTAATAACACCCACCACCACAACATCTGCTGGGTTCAAAATATCTTTTGTTTTTGTTGCGGTTTTATTCGGAAAGTACGATTTCTTTCACAGTCCTACGGTGCATATAGCCGTGAAACTTTCTCAGTGGAAAAACTAGAAGCCACCAAGGTGTAAAGTTTCAAATAAATGTTCAAATTCCATATAAATAAATATCAAACAGTGATCTGGATGTGAAACGCTGCTGCTGTATTTTCTAGACTGAAATGTTGCTGTTAATGCCTTGAACTCATCATTTCATGCATTTTTAATTAACTTTAACACTGTTATAGACACTAGGCAGCAATAAAAACATTTTACAGTCAAGAATATCATATTATTTCCCTTGTATTCCCTCTTACAGGCTCTGATCCTCGTGAACAACAAACTCACTATCATCCACCCCAAGGCCTTCAGCCCTCTGACCAAGCTGCAGCGCCTGTACCTGTCAAAGAACTTGCTAAAGGAAATGCCGGCTAACATGCCAAAGAGCCTGCAGGAGCTTCGCATCCATGAGAATGAGATCACCAAGATTAAAAAGGCCTCTTTCCAGGGCATGTCCCATGTCATCGTCATGGGTATAAAAATTTACTGATATAGTTACTACATTATCTTTATATATATTCTTTTGCTCTTCCCTCAAGTAATTACATACAGAGGAATAGCTAGCAGGTCTGATTTTCATTTGAAAAGAAGCGAACTTGCTCATGTAAACACACCCAGTATGCAGCTGGTGGCTTGACGGCCCCTGGGAAGGTTGATTTAATGTTTTGTGTGTGACCTTAAAATACAACCCCCACTTCTTTTGCTGAAATGTACAGTTTACAAATCAAATGTGCATATTTGGGCAATGAGCTGTACTGCTGTTTATCCATCTAGATTGTTTTGCTATGAATTGATCCAAATTTTGGAGCTAGTGTCTCCATTCTTCTGAATATTCTCTGCAGAAGGATCGGTGCTTTTCCCTTGGCTCGGTTCTAATGTTAGCTGATTGCACGCTTGTGCAAATTTCATACATGAAATCGCAAAGTTGTTCAGCATAGTGAAGCAGCCTACAAGCAAGATAAGGCAGAGGCCCTACCATCATACAAATGTAACAAAACTCCCTGCGTTCTCCTAAAATACCAACACATCTTCCCAATTTGGTGTGACTCTTTCCCAATCATATATGTAGAAAATGATGAGCTTACAGTTTTTATAGCTTAGAATTTGGTGTTTAGGTTCAATTATCAATTCTTCTGCTGTAATAATAACAATATCAAACTTAAGTTGTTTGATTAAAATGTACTGGAACACTAAAAGGCAGGAGTTGTTTATCTTCACTATATTTGCAAGATTAAAGAGGTTTTCACTACTGAAATCTCCAAATCTGGGCAACTAACACCAAAACTTGCTGTGAATTGTCCCATTAATTTCCTCCTCCCTTTGATAACTCATATCTAACTCTTAAAATTCCCTGTCCCACAAATAAAGTATCAGTGTGTCACTGATTAAACTAAAGCCAGCATGTGGATTCAATCAGCTGAAATACAGTGAAAGTGGTATGAGAATGATGCTCCGTGACAAACCAGGAAATCTGGCATGGAGAAAGATGACTGTGCAAACAGAACTATTTCATAAGTCAGCCCTCGTTGTTCCCGTAACACATCCAGGGAGGAACTAATTTGGGATCCATTTCTCTTTTTTCGTCATGTGTCCTCAATTCCATCTTTTTTTTTCAGAGCTTGGATCCAATCCTCTGAAAACTGCAGGAATTGAGGCCGGTGCTTTTGCTGACCTGAAAAGGGTGTCTTACATTCGCATTGCAGACACTAACATCACAGAGGTCCCCAAAGGTATTGCGCTCATCTATTACCACAAATAACTCCTAAAAGAAGATTTGTGCATGCGACTGGATTTTAGTTTACAGTGAAACACTTGGTTTAGTGTAAAAAGAAAAGAAAGAAGGAATACTGCATATTCCTAGACTAGAAATATCCTCTTCTTGCTTTTTTTCTGTCACAGAAGATTGAAGAAGTCATAGAAGTTGCTACCTCTTAATACCACTTGGTTTTTGATGTGGATCTATTGTCTTGTGGGTTCGCAGGTCTGCCCAGCTCTCTCTCTGAGCTTCACCTGGATGGAAACAAAATCACCAAGCTGACAGCTGACAGGCTCAAGGGCCTAAATAACCTGGCAAAGTAATATGCATATGTTTATCATTTTAAACTGTGATTTCCTTTGCATTTTGAGCTTTAAAGTGAGTGCAGGTGGGACCACTTCTTCAATGCAGTATTAACCACTTGCAACTACATGGCTGTGAGTAGTTGTAGTAGTTGTAGATTTAATGCTTTATGCTTAGAAAAAAGGAGAAAAACTTGACTATCCAGAGTCCTGAATTTAAAAAAAAAATGCAGATGCCCAAATGGATTTAAGAGTAGAGCACTGGCACATATTTACGTGTAAGAGGGAAAAAGTTTATTATGGGGTTTGTAATTGAATGATAATTAAGCTGAGGGTGCCTGCAGTCGCTTGCAGACAGGCTGGAGTGCAGTCAGAAGGGAGCCGAGTGAGTGGGGCACTCACTCTCCTATGGTTTGGAGTTGGTTGAGTTTTGCAGAGCTAGGTTTTTCTGCAGTACATAAAGAACAGTCTGGGGAGGTTCACTGGAGACTGAAGTAAGCCTCTTAAGACACGCACTTTTTTCCATTAATCCTAGGTCATCTGAATTTGTCAGCTTCAGCTCTGAATGTGCACATTTTGTCACATTTCTCTGCAGTCACTTTTGCATCATTGCTGCTCCCTTTAGGCAGCTTTTTTCTGATTGGTTGCCACTCAAAAAGGTTTGGACAGCTGGTGGGCGTGGCTCCTATGAGTGCAGCTCTATTCCTGACATGAGTACTACATCAAGAATATCTGCTATCCCTGATATCATACAGAGCTACCAGACATTTGTACAGCAGGCTGAAGTCTAAGCTTGTGGCTCATAATTTATGATAATGTACCTTTCTGAATGAGTTACCTTTTCGAATTGTGTTTCCACTCTTTGGTTTGGCTTGTTGACCTGGAAAACTAGCTGCAGTGTTACTGTTTAAGCAATTTTCTGTCTGGAAAACCCTAAAGCCTAAACAGTGGTTTCTGGATTGCTCATAAATTTGACTAGAACGTGTTTATAAGATCACTGCTCAGATTATGCCAGGGATGGCATACCAAACCAGAACAAAGAACACTTTGATGCAGAAGTTGAGGGAAGAGGAGCATAAGATGCTTTTTGTTTTCCATTCTCTCATAATGAAGTAATTGAGTGGGAGATTCTGGGCTCTGCAGCAGGTGTGGATATTTTCCTGCATGCGCATTTCCTCTGGTAAATCTCTCTCACTTCCTTTCAGCTCATTTTATTAGCTATTGAGGACTTTGGAGTGAATGTCACTGGCTTAGTTTGCAATGTACTACTTTTTTCTACTTCCTGATTTTTCTTGCAGGCTGGGTCTGAGCTACAATCAGATCAGCTCTGTGGAAAACGGCACATTGGCTAACACACCCCACCTGCGAGAGCTGCACCTTGACAACAATGCTCTGACCAGCGTGCCTCCTGGCCTGCCCGACCATAAGTACATCCAGGTACATACTCATCTGATTAACGTTAGGATTATGGCACTTTTCCAGTTTTCAATACACATCTTAATCAAAGGAGCGTTGTTATTGCAACCACTTATTTCCAGCACTGTAGTTATGTTTCTCATTCTCTTATGGTTTGATCACACACAGCTCCTTTTCTCTGATGTAAACCATGCTGAAAAAGTTTACTTTGCTGCGTTTTTTTCATTTGGGTTGTTTAGGTTAACAATGCTCGATTACAAGTCAGCCAAGGCTTTCATAACTCAAGTCATATGGATTCATTTTTTGTTTGTTTATTGACTGTTGGTAGCTTACACTGATACAATCTGATCTGGAAAGTAGGGGGAAAGTAGACGGGCCATTTAACGTTTAGTTTGGCACTTTGATATCTCAAATGTGGAACTAGTGCTTCAATCTTATCTCAGAAGGCTCCTTCATTTAAGGTAATTCCCTGAATTTCTCAATAGATCAAAACGTATTAGATTACAAACTACCTTTTTCTGTGAATGTTGTCAAGAGCAAACATCTCAGACTTTTGGAAGAAATGAACCAGGTTGTTGATATAACTTTCAAATTTGGAAACTATGCACAGTTTGCACAAATCCTTTACTTCCAGCACAGATTGGGACACTTCCATTCTCTGAGTCAAAAAGGATATTGTGTGATTCATCTGCAATTCCTGTTCCCGGACATCCCACGCAAGTCTGTGGAAAGCCCAAAGTGGCATGGCAATAATTAAATGACGATCAGATACAGTATGAGAAGGAGAAACTTGCAGAGGCAGCAGCAACTGTAAGCATGCTGGAGCACATTAAATAGCACACCCTCTATGAGATTTACCAATAGAATGAGCAGAAATGTATCAGCCGATGTGGACTGATAGAAGTTGCATAACAGAAGGTTTTATTGCAACTGTAAGAATAACTACACTGCAATATTTAGGGTGTTTTTTACATAAAAAAAAACAAAGAAAGGTGGACAACAATATTGTTTTTAGTGAAACCAGATGTTTAGAAAAGGTGCCACATACAAAGAAATTATTTATAGAAGTCTCTTTCATGCTTTTTGTTCTGTCTTTTGACTTTTCCATTGTATATGATGACATATTTAGCAGGGTGACTCTGAAGTCTGTAATTAACATTATAATGTTATGCCACTTTCCCGCCTTTGCTCCTAGAGCCTAGCAGCTTTGTCATTTTCCTGAGTTCTCCATATTTTTCACACACCACTTGATTAGCATGTATGCAGTCCTTTTCTCCACTGTTTTTAGTTAAACATTCTGAAGAGAGAAGGAAAAACAGCCTGGCTTGGTTGTTGCTATCATTCATTTTGAGACATATTATTTTCCTCTTAATCTGCTTTATTCTGGAAAAGCCAAATTATTGCCATGCACGTTCGGTGACCGAATGTTGTTATTATTTTAATCCCTGCTCTAGGTGGTCTACCTTCATGCCAACAAGATTGCTGCTGTGGGAACAGAGGACTTCTGTCCTCCCGGCTTCAACACCAAGAAGGCCATGTACTCTGGCATCAGCCTGTTCAGCAACCCCGTGCCTTACTGGGAAGTTCAGCCAGTCACCTTCCGCTGTGTCTTTGACCGCTCCGCTATCCAGCTCGGCAACTACAGGAAGAAGTAGAGCGTCCTACATGCCACTGCAAGGAAGTGTGTGTTTGTAAATGAGTGTGTGAGAGTTTTGTATGTGTGAGTGTTCGACAACAGCCCCACAACACTGACTCCCTACCAACACTGCCTTTCCACAAATGATGATACAGTTAATTCGCATACTCATTTCAAAACTCTGTGGACCTCAAACACAACGTATCAGATTCAATATTCAGCTTCAAGGTTTGTGCAACGATAGTACCCACAGCTTACTGCAAATACTAGCACACTACAGTGACGCTTTCGTGCACAGGGCACATCATTCACGGGACCAGTTACGCAAGCATTAATATTGCATATATGTTCACATAAGTGCTGTAACATATTAATGTGTATAATATGTGCAATTTATTCAGTGGACAACAAATTAAAAGATGAACCCAAACCAAAAAAAAAAACCCAACAACAACAAAAAAATCTCACTCAGTGGAAATCTCAATTTAATCGCCTTTTAGACCTGTAGCATTGTATGAATTAGCTGGCCTGTAGAGCAGGCAGCAATGGGTTAACTTGTGTTTTACCCTTTAACAACCGGTATACTAGAATGTAGTAGATATTGCCTGTGTACTAGGAATAGACTTCAAAGTGTAATATTACCAAGCTGCATTTCAAGAACACAGAGTGTCTATTTGAATTGTTCTCAATTCAAGTAGAGATAAAAGCAGCAGTGATTTCATTTGCTTTGTGATATCTTGTGCTTCCTTCCATGTTGTTTTAGCTCTGGATCTTTTTATATATTTTCTCCATCACATTCCATCTCCTGTTCTGTTCCAAGTGTGTGCTTCCCATAAAACAAGGTGAAAATAGCTTGTTAAATGTAGAATAAATCATATATGTTTTAAACAGAAGCCATGCCCAAAGATTTATATGCATGCTCTTAATTTTTCCTTTCAACTTGAACCTGATGCTTTCTTTATTGTCGTGTTAATGCGTGTATGTATCTACTTCATGTTTACCTTCCCTTTATTTTTATTTTTTATTCTTTTTGTTGGAAGTTGGAGGGTCTATGTAGACTGACATGCCAGCAGCAACCATATTGGTGTGAATGTTGTATGTATAGATGCTGTATATAAATGCTGTATAAAAACCTCTCATTGCTTAAATGCACAAGCACTTACCATAGCTCAGACTTAATATATCAGCAACAAACGTGTTCCTCTTTTTTTCGGAGCAGGGGCTCCAGCTAAGTTGTCATGAACAAAATAAAAATACTAGTGGAAACAGTAGCAGTTTTTAATGGTTACAATGACCAGAATTAGCATTATTATCTTTGGTGTGAATGGAGAGTTAGCTCCAAGGTCACTGGATAGCACAAATGATCAAGCGAACGTACTAAACATGAGAAATCTTCACTTATATAGAACATAAATTCACATCAAATTCGAATGCTAACAGGAGGCATGTCATTGAGAGAGAACCTTGGCAAAGACTGGAAATGTGCAATGAAAGCGTGATGAGTTATCAAATGAAAAACACATGCACCCAAACACTAAAAATTTCAATTTCATTATTTCAGCTGACTGCATTTCAGAATAAAACCAGACTAATAAGCGATCTAGGTTTGACTATGTTTCACTTTCGATTATTTAAAAGTCATCGATTGCTTTCACTTTTATCGCAGCCTTTATCTGCTCGCGCTAAACATCAATGCTTTCTTGCCATCTGGCAACAGTAAGTGAGTCACATCATCAAAACTGTACTTCTCTACAGTTTTAATTATTTTAATTATAGTATACAGGCCTGCAAGAGCTCAACATATCATGACAGAATCAGGTGGGTTTTAGTGACTTATTACATCAAATTAAAACAGCGCTTTTCATTAAAACAGTGATTTTGAGCTGTTATGTATACTGTGTTACTCACTGGTACAATATATTACCAGTGGGGTATGTAAGAGGTGTTTTAGTGTGTTTTCTACATTTACTTATGCTGTGTATGGTTCCGGGGGTTGAAGACATTCCCAACAAGACACTTTGAGCAGATCATCAGTCGACTGTTACACTGTTTATATTTATATGTATGCTGCAAATGTTGCGTCCAGAGTGCACCTAGCCTCTTGCCCTATTACAGCAGGAATAGGTTAAAAATCCGAACTGCAAATACTACACAGTGCAATCACCATAAAGTCTCCTGTGCGGTGTGTTTGATTCTTCAGAGGAAACCAGAGCTCAGACACAAACACATCACGTACACTTCACACAGGTTACCAGGTTTGATAACGGAGCTCTATAATCACCATCACACAACATCCAGATCCCAAGGTGAGTGAAAACACTGTGGTGAAGGCTGTAAAGAGCCTTAAAAATCTAACTTATGGTAGATTAATTTGCTTCGAGCTACCCCAGCAGGCTCTAACTCATTTTGATGGGTTTTGTGGTCCGGGATGAAAAAAACAGTATTTGCAGAAGAAACATTTCTGGCCTGTGAGCCATCGGAGATTTATAGTCAAGGAGTCATTTGGGAGACTTTAATGGGAATATTTAGGTTGAAGAAAAAAGAAACTGGCCTCCCATGAGATATATATAGTGGTTAAAATTCCTGACTCCAAAAAAGGCTGTGACAAGAAGTTTTTTGTTTTTTAATATAGTTACAATATCTTATTTAATTCAAAACTGTGGTTTTATCATTATTTTTTGGCTTTTTTGAGCATTTTTCTTGTTCCTACTACACACCTTCAATTCATTCAATTCAGTAGTGCTTTTTTTGTAAGGTATTGACAGTAGAACTGTCATAGCATTAGCAGCCTGCCTTTTTTTATGATTAACACAGTGCAAAACGTCTCGCATCTTTTCCATTCAAACAGCCGTCACTATTATACCCAGTAACATAATTAGTAAATATGAAATAAGCCAGAGAAGGCCTTTAGATCATCGGATATATTGCAACGTATATACTGCTGTATTTCCTATAAAGGGAACTTACCCATGAAGTTCCCAAAAATGTAACACAGATCACGATTTTTTTTTAAATTAATCCACCTTGCAGTCATGTGTATCAGTGGAAAGTCTACTTCTGTCATACTTCTGTTACAATCAAGCCAAAAAAGCAGTTTACCATGCCTTTACACTTGGACTGCTTATTGTAAAGGCAACTCTGAGGACATACATGGGAAAGTAGCAGCAGCAACAAATGCAGTGATCCTTTTCATTGGATAGTTGTTCAGCAGTCCGTGTAAAATAATATGTTAGAACAGAAAACAATATAATTGGCTTATTGAAGTAGAATGAAACATATAACTCAAGAAACACAATAAACACAATTTTGTAGTACATGTACGATGACAATAAAAGGCTATTCTAATCTAGTCTTCTGTTCTAAAACACCAGACACTATTTAACCTGATGAGTTATTCAGTTTTCATGAGATCATCCTGTCATGAAAATGTTTGGGGTTTAATAATAATTTCACTTGGTAAATTAAATTAAAAATATGTTATGAAAAGCAAAGTATTAACGAGTTGCCAAAAGCTCAGAACTCTCTGCCTCTGATATGACTTGGTTCTTCTATTTTCTTTAGACAAGGACAGAAAGCATCAGTGTTTGAGCTCTGGCGCTCATCCCAGGACCTCAGAGCGGGTTCAGCTAGACAACATGAATGCTCTTCAATCTGTTGCCCCCATGTGGTGGCTATCGGTAGAGCACTTTCTATTTTCCATCCGCCTTTCTGCCTCAGTCTCACACACACAGACACATGCCAGAGCAGCATGCAACTTGATCTTCTGCACAGTCGTCTATCTTCTCGTTGCCAGGACTTGTGTGTGTTTAGGCATGTGTGTCTGGTGCTTTACTTCATGTGCTGGAGAACTTGAGAAGCACTAGTTGGGCTGTGAGCATGCACAGATCACACTGATTGCTAAGAATAAGTGTCTAGTGTTATGCAATTGAAGTAGCCTGTGCCCTTCACCATGTTATGAGAGGAAAGTCGTGAGATCTGGTGAGAAGCAGATGTGCCAATGATCCATGCAGATGTTTGTTTGAAACTACATTTATCAAATCCAGCTTATAGAAAAAACCCTGAGCTTATATCTGTCTGACTATCATCAATGTGGTATTCTCCTTAATCTACCTATCAACACCTTAACAATGTGTTAAACCCTGTTATTACTGCACGAGGTATTTTACACAAAATGGGCCTAAATTGGTCTACTTTACACTAAATCCTTTAATTTAGGGATTTAAAGAAAATTAAGGCATGTTTGTGTGTTACAAATAGACGCGGAAAGCTCTGTTTTGTTAAGTAGATCCTGTCATCTAATTTTGTTGCCGGGTCACTCTTGGAGCACATGTGAGCCCATGAGACACCAGGTGAGAGAATCACTCGGGCTGCCAGGGATGAGTCTCTCTGTGTTAAGCACAGCCACATGACCACATGGTAGGAACAGAAGGTGGTGTCTGAGTGCTGTCTGAGACTTTATTAGAAGCTTCTGTGTGTCGGTGCCAAGAAGTCCAAGAATATCCTGTTTGCTAATATGCTTGCTTGGATCTCCATCCGTGTACCTGGCAGTCCATGTGCATATGTGTGTTACTTTGTTCAGTGTTCTCTTATTTTCCTATGCCCCTTTATTTTTATGCAATTATCTGTCTGAGTGTGCTGTTGATCAGAAATAAGGTCTAACATTAAGTAATGCAAATCTGTTGATTAAAAAAAGAGAATAATATGTAATGTTTTGTATACAGAAAAAAAGGTTAGTTGAAGGTTAGATGAAGTAAAAATGTGCAGACTATATTATATGGTGCACAAATGCTGTGTAAGATCCATGTGGGATTCAAAGTAGTTAGGTGTCCATTAAGGTCTCTTTTTATTGCAAAGCTTTCAAAAAAGGTCATTTGCACAAAGTTAGCATATGTACCATTTGGAATTGCGTGCTATTTTTGAGAGTCATGCAGCAAGTACTTTTAAAATCTAGATCTACCAATATCTTGCTAAAAGACTGAGGCTAGAGTTATATCTTCATTGCAGAAAATCCAGCTTCATCCCCAGTTAGTCTGAGTGACTATAGCCAATCTATGATGCTACTGTTGTAGTGAATGTATTTATTTTTTGTGTCTATTTCACATTTAAACTCATGTGCTTTACCAGATGCCAAGTGAACTATTCACTAAAGGAAAAAAGAAGGAAAAAGGTTGCCCAGGTTGCCCAGTGAATGCTCTACTTTGCAAACCGCTAACTCATATATTTTTTGTCAAACTACGTTGTCATCATTGAGCAATTTTTGCAACTATCATGAAGAAATTAGCTTGATATGACAAACAGTATAATTAAGAGGAAAACAGTGTTAAAAGTCAACAAGAACATGTTTTATAGGAGCAAGTAAGCTGACTAAGGATAATAACAAAACAAGAGCATAATTTCAGATTGGTTCATAAAACCATTGACAGGAACACAGCAAAGACAATGAGCAACCAAAGAAAAACACTTTTTCTAGTTACATTTGAAGAGTATTCTGTGATTTGTATGTCCATGTTTGGATGCCTTCGTCCTTTTTGTGATTTATCTGATTTTATCTGTAAAAAATAATCAAGTTCCTGTTTTGCTGCCATTTTTACTGATTCCAAAAATATCATAAACCTCAGCCATATGTAATTTACCTTGAAATTTACTAAAAGAAAACAAACATTAGGACATGTGCTATGTGGAGCTTCAGGATTTTTTTTTTTTAATGTGTGAATATTTCAATATATGATCACTAAGGTGGACTCCATCTTTTGAGCCTCTGCCATTTGAAGCATCAGTATTAGATCTTTGTTACCACCATATTGACTGCTAGCAGTGACCAGAGTGTTAAGTTATTGGCTAACATTAACTTAACTGACTGCAAGCACTGAACTTATGATCTTGTTCCGTTTGATACGGTGGCTTCAAAGATGGGGACCAGGTCTGTTCACAGCCAGTAGCTGTCTTGAAGTCAACTTTGGTGCATTAAGACAGCAACGAAGCAGGAATAAGATGCAATTACATGCACTTTGTTTGTCATAATGCAGCCGTTAACTGCGACAAATGAGTAGCAATCCCATTCCTGTTACCGTCTACAGTACAAAGAGATTAACCTTGGGTGGTAACAATAAAGGTCAAGGAGAATTGCTTTGTCAGTCTAGTTACACATGTCCGCCAAGGCCTAGTATATTGTTGCGAAGTTTGAAGACGATCCATAAAAAACTGTGGGCAGGTTTTCACATTTTGTGTGACCTGGACCTTTAACTCCACCCAATTGTCACGTAAATTAAAT